GTGGTGTTGGGTCCTCGTTTTGAAGAGACGGTCCCCGCGTTTCTCCTCCCTTTTTCCTCCCTCCCCCTCCTCCCCCTGCGCCTCCCTGCGTTTCACCCACCCAGTACAGCGCTTCGTGGCCCCATAGGGAGCTCCACCGAAGGCGCCAGTGCCACCGTCCGCATGCGTCCCAGAACCTCCAATTTGGCATTTCCACCCACCCAGTACAGCGCTTCGTGGCCCCTTAGGGAGCTCCACCGAAGGCGCCAGTGCCACCGACCGCATGCGTCCCGGAACATCAAATTTGGCAGTTTCACCCACCCAGTACAGCGCTTCGTGGCCCCATAAGCGCCAGTGTCAGCGTCCGCATGCGTCACGGATAATCCAATTTGGCATTTTCATCCACCCAGTACAGCGCTTCGTGGCCCCATAGGGAGCTCCACCGAAGGCGCCAGTGCCACCGTCCGCATGCGTCCCAGAACCTCCAATTTGGCATTTTCACCCACCCAGTACAGCGCTTCGTGGCCCCACAGGGAGCTCCACCGACGGCCCCAGAGCTACCGCCCGCATGCGTTCCCCCCCACCCAGTGCAGCGCTTCGTGGCCCCATAGGGAGCTTCACCGAAGAGGATATTCGCAATTGCGGTACCCACAACTGCATATGGTTGGGTCCTCCGCCAGGATATTTTTTCGATTCTGTCCTTGGGGGGGCGCTTTCGGGGCCACGGGGTCGTGTTACTGACGATTTCGGATGACAAATTCAGAAAAGTCTGCGGCCTACGCTTTGAACGATAACGACATCGGGTGTCTGGAGGCAAGGGACGGATAAAAAACAACATTTATCATTAGCCACGCTGACCCCGTGGTTGAAGCATTTGTAGTGCTCGCTGTCTCCCGCCAGCGTTGCTGCTAGCACTCCATAGTCAAACACCTACCATGACCAAACGGAAAACTGAGCAGATACTCTTTCGCAGCCGTCGTTTCTCAACGTCCCTCTAAACCTTTCCTGTTGAGGCTCATAGCCTTTTTGGCTCAAGCTGACTCATGGTCTATGTGTGTTCGACGTTGCTCTGCCCAAGCGCCTTCGCAGAGGGCTGATTCCCGCCAGAGGCGGCGGCTTTGATAGCGGCGGCGTGGGTAATGCCCGCGGTGCCGCCGCACGCACCGCGGTAGCCCATACCGTATCGGTTACGGCGGTGCGTGCAGGCGACGCGAGCTGCTGCAGCGGTGGCGCGGGTTACGGTGGTGCCTACGCTGTCGGCGCGGGGATGCTGCGGTGGCTCGGCGGGCTACGGCGACGGCGGCGCCTCTGGCCACGGCCTCACGGGCGGCTTCCCGCCCCAAATCCAGACCTCCATAGGGCTCGGTGATGGTTGCGGGCAGGAGACACGTTGCCATTTGGGCTGGTGTTCGCAAGCAGCCTTGAAGACGTTGGTCTTAAGTGCATTGCCCCTACCTTACCGTGTCCCAAATTGTTTATGCTTCTGGTTGATTTCTTTGCTTCTGTCGCTGCTGTTGCTCCCGCTTCTGGGCTGGTTCCGAGCTAATGGGCTCAACCAACACGAAGACGAGGACAACGGTTCTCAAAATTGCTCCTCCGCCGCCGATGCTAGCAGCGCCGTCTCCGCCTCCGCCTGATGCTGCAACCGCGACCAAGAACACCACCACGGAGGCTTCGTCTCCGCCTCCGCCGCCCCGCCGCCACCGCCCACGACCGCGGAGAGAAAAAGTATGATTTGCAATTTTGTTTCTGCATCGGTATATGATGCGCCATGATTTTCTTCATTTGTCATTTTTGCTGTGTTTTGGCAGCCCCACGTCTGAGAGGCAAGGGTGCGAACTCCGCACCCCTTCCACCACAGCAGCGAGCTCGGGGAAAAAGGTCGACTGCGCAGCAGGCGGTACGCGGTCCTGGGAGGAGATATCCGGGAAAGTCACGTGTTGCCTGCAGGTTTGGTGGGGGGCGCCATGCCCCGCCTCCGCCCGCCCCGCCGTCCGAGCCGTGCGACTGCCAGGCCGGGTGTTCGAATTGGGAAGCGGGGTGGCTCGCGGAAAAAGAGGTGGCCGGCGCTGCTCCAACAGGCACGCGGGCTGCGTGGAGACGGCGTCCAAGCCGTCCGATGGCGAGGGCGGGTGTTCGCACTGGCAGGCGGGCCGGCCCGAAGACAACAGGGCGCGGTGTTGCGACAGCGCGCAGAATTGATGCCCAGAGACGATGCCGCCTCCAGCCCCGCTCTCCGAGCCGTACGGTTGCAACGGTGGGGACTCGAATTGGGAAAGTGACTAGTCGCCAGACTGGAAGGAGCATTACTGCTCGAAAAAGCAGATTACTTGTGTAGAAGCCGCTGCGACGCAAGCAGTACCGCGTTCGGACCATGCGCAGTCCACGTCTAGGGTAGGGGGATCAGGTGGCAGTCCTCACGTAGCGTCACGTTTTTCATTCGCGTGGGCTTTGAACAGTGACGCTTATCAAGGCATATCCCACCGCTCATCTCGTCAGGCGGAGATTCTCCAGGAGGTGAGCACGATGTTGTCTTATCGGATCAGCATCGACATCAACTTTCCGATATGATGTGGCCATTGCAGGATCAAAGCAGAAATGCCCCTTGGGCCTCGCGAGATGGGTAGTTCGAATAATATCGCGACTCGTGTGGACGTTTATTATCGGAGGATACTTGGCTTCTAGCTCCCAGCATGCTCTGGTCCGCCCAATTGATTTCGTTTTCCTTCCTCCAGGTGCCTACTCCTCGGTGGTTGGATTTCATGTTTTTGGCTGCTTGGGGGGTGGAGCCCCTTGCAGTAGCAAGGGCTCGACGAGAGTTTGCAAACGGCTGCGCCTGTGGGCCCCGTTGTGGCTCGGGGGCCAGAGAAGTGGGGAGGAGGGAGTTCGGGAGCAGGCCCCGCCTGGAGCTGTGGCCTTTGCAGGGCTTGAGCTGAAGCCGAGCTAGCTGGAGAGCTGCCCAGTGTGGCAGCTCTCGGAGGTGAAGCCGCAGAGGCAGACATCTTTTTGAGGATGTTTGCGGGATGTTGCAGGCGACTGCCAGGATGGGGCGACATTCCTCCATCCTAGGCGAGCGTGCCCGCACCCGACGGGAGAGGTGGGGGAGAGGAGAAGTGGGAGGGTGGAGCCACCGCCTCTCTCGCGCATTGTCTTTGAATCGCACATGATGTCATTGATATGGCCCTTCAGCAAGGATGTTACCGCTGCTGCGTTGGCCAATAGTGCAGGATCGGCTATCTGTTCCTGTCATTCAGAATGGCGCTCTCGCACAAGCGTGGGCCACACTGCCAGGTCGGTTCCTTAGCCCCCATTTCCCCCCTTTCCGGCTTCCCCTGGTCCTCACGTTCCCCTTGCTCTTCTTGTTGCTCCTCCTTGATATTCCTGCTCCTCTTCGTCCTGCTCACCCTCCTGCTCATCCGCCACTTACTCCTCCAATTCACGATGACCCCATTTCTGATTGCGCAGCACACGGTGGGGTCATTCTGAGGATCACGGTCCTCTAGGACACCTCAGTCGGTGGATACGAAGGAACCCAGCGCCGCGGGAAGGAAAGGAAAGGAAAGGACAGGGAAGGGCGGGAGGGGTAGAATGCCAGATTACATGGCGCGAGCGCATCTAGCTTTCCCCTCTCCTCATCCCCCCCTCCCTGCTCTCCCGTCTGTATTCCTTCTCCATTCCCCCTCTTCTCCTTCCATCCCTCCACCCCTTCCACCCCTCCCCCATCCTCATGTATCCCCCCCTGCCTCCTCGCAGCTGGATCTCGGCGAGGGCCTCGAAACGGCATCGCTGATGCCCCAGATTGACCTTCTGCGGGCCACGTCGGGGCTCAGGAGGAGGACGAGTAAGAGAAGGGTTTTAAGATTGCCCTAAGCGGTCTTAAACAGTTTTGGGCGGCCAGTGGGTGTTATGTTGATGTTAGTGGGGCGTCCAGATGCGCAGGGTGAGGAGGAGTAAGAGGAGGAGGAGGAGGAGCAGGAGGAGGGAGAGATTGGGGGAGGAGGAATAGGTTTGTCCACGATCGTGTCGGTTCAATGATGCATGCCGGTGTCTGTGAGAGGTGCAGGTCGCTTCGACCGTGCGTCTCGAGGAGCGATCCCCAATCCCATTAAAGGGGTTCGATTCAGGCGACCCCGTCATGCCAGCAAATCAGTCGATCTGCGATGGAGGGCAGCCTGTGGATAGCCGTGGGGGCGGGATGAGGTGAGCACGGAGGAGGGAGGCGGGGGGGTGACGGAGGGATGGTGTCTCCGGCAGGAATCACATTCGCTTGCAGTTGCGATGTACGATCAGGCCAGTTCGCGTGTGCTAAACGATTTGTCTCGTCTGTTGCAGCTTTTCGCCCAGTGCCCGCCAGGGGCCGGCCTCGGGCCCGCTCCGTGCGCTGGCCGGGTTCTCATGGTTTCGCCCGGCGCCCGCCCGGTCCCGCCTCTGGTGTCCGCGTCCCGCGCGGGCTCTCGCCACAGGACGGACACATAGTTTGCACCACATAGTTTGGACCACATCGAATACAGAGCCTACGGTTTGCGCCAGATGCGTTGCACTACATGGCTTGCGCAGCAGCGAGTGCGCCTTGTAGACAGCATTACATCGCCTGCACCATATGGATTCCACCGCGTTGTTTGCACCGTATAGGAGCTCACCCTATATCTGCCACAAAGATGGCTCTCCATAATTTGCACCAAGCTGCCTGCGCTACATACGTTGCGCCCCAGTTGGTTGCATCGCGTAGATTGCACCCGACAGCTCGCACCACATAGTTTCCACCACGTACATGTCCGAACATCGTTTCAGCCACATGCTATATTTTGCATGCCAACAGTTGCACTACATAGCGTGCACACCGAGAGCGCGTCTTGGGGTCCACGCTGGCAAGCAGACAGCTTCTGGCAACCGCTCCTGGTAACTGCTACGCATGATTTTGAGATGGGTGGATGACATGTGTAGGCATCGCAATCATCACTCTCCATCATGTCCAGAGCCATCGATTTAATGTGCTGGTCGTGCCATCATCGTGCTGGTTCAGACGAATTCTGCCTCCGAGCGCTTGCCATCCAATGGTTATGCGAAGCAGCAGTCGACGTCTTTGCAGGACCAGTCGTGATCGTCTTCGGGTGTTGCGTCAGACATGCGTTCGCAGGCGATGTTACAGACTCTGTCGAGCACATGCCCGCACAAGACTGGATAATCTGGTCGGTATTAGGATGTTTTCTGGCGCTGATCTCCTCGAACCAGAGGTGGCCAGCCAGAGAATGGCAGTTCGGATTCCTGGATTCTTGAAGGAGACGGCTGTGCGCCAGATTGTCGCAGAGGTGAATAGGCCCAGGGCCTACCAGCCCTACACGCATTCAGAAGAAGATATCGGAGAAAGGGGCGAGGCGTTGCACGTCACGAGGTATTTGCACTCGAACGGACGTTTCCGGAAGATTTTGCCACGTGTTCGAACAATGATTCTAGCTTTGGCCAGGGCTGCCGATGCAGTGGAAGGTTGGAAACTCCTTCGCTTGAGAGGACGCGGAGCTGGCGTATCGCACACATCTCAGATTTTTCCAGAAGCGTCTTGCAGCAGGCCGACCATCCGCTGCGCCGAAGTCCACGAGATGGTCCGCGGAGGACGGTTGCCCTACTGGGACCACTACGACGTCGGCTCGCTGGTCACCGTGGACGTGATGCTCTCGGAGGAGGATCAGTCGAGACGACGGCGCCCCTCCCTGTTGTTACTCGGCCCTGTTGGGCCTCCCTGGAGACTTCGCGTCCCCGCGGCCGGATCCGCTCCGAGAGCCTGGCCAAGATGGGGCCCGGGAGGGGTCCGGGTGCGGGGGCCGAGTTTTGCCTGGAGAGCCGCCGTGGTCTCGGCCGGCCCTCCTCCGATGCTCGAGGATCAGCGGCGCCGTATCGGGTACTCACACTAACGGGTACTTTGGATGGAAAATTGCCGAAGGTTGCCACTTTCGGGCCATCCTGGAGGATTGGGTTCGCTGGATTCTGGCCAAAGTGCCCGTTGGTGGAGTCCCCGTTAGAGGGACGCTGAGAGGAGCCGGAGGCCGGCGGAGAGTTTCAGACCCCAGAGGCAGACGGGTCGGTCACGTCCCATAGGTTTCGCAGGGGGGACGCGCTCGTGTTTCCGAGCGCGAAGTACCACCGCGTCGAGCCTGTGCGCGGGGGGCGGCGCCGCACGCTGGTGGTCGAGATCTGGTCGGGGCGGGAGGTGGCAGAGGATCACCGCTGCGAGACGCGCGTGGGCCCGTGCAGGTGCCCCGCTGGCGGCGGCGCTGGGTTCGATCTGGATGGCGTCTGGCGAGAAAGCCTGCCCTGCTGAGTGGAGCCCGTCGGCGGCCACCACGGATGTGCGAGCTGGCTCTGCCTGGGCGTCGCGGAGTGGGGGTGCGATGGATGAGGGGGCAGCGAGGACTGCAGAAAAGGTGCGGTTCAGGGCCTATGAAGGGGCCCTTGAGGGTCTGTTGGGCCCGAGAGGTGTATTTGTTCCACCCCATTGATCGCCTCCCACGAAGCGACGCCCAATCTGCGTCGGGCATATATATATATATATATATATATATATATATATATATATATGTGTATACATATAACGGCGCACCTGGTCCGGGGGCCCGGGGCCGGGACCACGACCACAAATGTGGGGACCGGGGGCTCTGGAGGCGCCGGAGGCCCACAGAATGCCATTAGAAAGCGCCAGGAGAGCCCCAAGACGCTCCAAGAGAGACCCGAGACACCCAAAGGTCGCTCTAAGACGCCCAGCATTGCCTCCGGACGGCTTCAGAAGCCCCCAAGACGCCCCAAAAGGCGTCCAAGCCGCGCCCGAAGAGATCTCCAAAAGGCAAAAATAGCCCCGTTCCCTTCGTAAAACGTATATTTTTACTACATCAATTGTTTTCGCTGCCGTACAGTTCATGACGACGCCGGAGGCCCCCAAGACAGCCCCAAGCCAGCCCAAGAGGCGCCCCAGAGGGCCCCAAGACAGCCCAAGAGAGCCTCAAGACGGCCCAAGAGGCGCCCAGAACAGCCCAAGTGCGGCCCTGAGGCCCACAAAAGGCTACCAGAAAGGACTCGGGACGTTCCAAACGCGACCCGAGACGCCCAATGGTCGCACCAAGACGCCCAACATCGCCCCAGACGGCTTCAGAAGCCGCCAAGACGCCCCAAAAGGCCTCCAAGACGCGCCCGAAGAGATCTCCAAAAGGGCAAAATAGCCCCATTCCCTTCGCAAAACGTATATTTTTACTACCTCAATTGTTTTCGCTGTCGTATAGTTCTTGACCACATCAGAGGCTCCCAAGACCGCCCCAAGACAACCTAAGTGGCGCCCCAGAGGGCCCCAAGACAGCCCAAGAGAGCCCCAAGACAGCCGATGAGGCGCCTAAAACAACCCAAGTGCGCCCCTGAGGCTTACAAAAAGCTACCAGAAAGGATTTAATACGCCCAAAGGTTTCGTGAAACGTATATTTTTACCATATCAATTGTTTTCGCTGTCGTACACTTCTTGACGACATCGAAAGCCCCCAATACTACCCCAAGACAGCCGGAGAGGCGCCCCAGAGGGCCCCAAGACGGCCCAAGAGAGCCCCAAGGCGGCCCAAGACGCGCCCAAAACAGCCCAAGTGCGCCCCTGTGGGCGTCTTGGGTGACCTTTGGGCGTATTAAATCCTTTCCGGTAGCTTTTTGTAAGCCTCAGGGGCGCACTTGGGTTGTTTTAGGCGCCTCATCGGCTGTCTTGGGGCTCTCTTGGGCTGTCTTGGGGCCCTCTGGGGCGCCACTTAGGTTCTCTTGGGGCGGTCTTGGGAGCCTCTGATGTGGTCAAGAACTATACGACAGCGAAAACAATTGAGGTAGTACAAATATACGTTTTGCGAAGGGAATGGGGCTATTTTGCCCTTTTGGAGATCTCTTCGGGCGCGTCTTGGAGGCCTTTTGGGGCGTCTTGGCGGCTTCTGAAGCCGTCTGGGGCGATGTTGGGCGTCTTGGTGCGACCATTGGGCGTCTCGGGTCGCGTTTGGAACGTCCCGAGTCCTTTCTGGTAGCCTTTTGTGGGCCTCAGGGCCGCACTTGGGCTGTTCTGGGCGCCTCTTGGGCCGTCTTGAGGCTCTCTTGAGCTGTCTTGGGGCCCTCTGGGGCGCCTCTTGGGCTGGCTTGGGGCTGTCTTGGGGGCCTCCGGCGTCGTCATGAATTGTACGGCAGCGAAAACAATTGATGTAGTAAAAATATACGTTTTACGAAGGGAACGGGGTTATTTTTGCCTTTGGAGATCTCTTCGGGCGCGGCTTGGACGCCTTTTGGGGCGTCTTGGGGGCTTCTGAAGCCGTCCGGAGGCAATGCTGGGCGTCTTAGAGCGAGGCCCACGTACTGGATTTGGCTCAGGACTCTCGTGATATCAGAGAAGGTACGAACACCGTTTTTATATTCAGCTGTCTGCGGCATGCCCCGCCACCGTGCCAGCGCAGCTCTTGTGACACCTCTTGTCTCTATTGAAGACGCCCCAAAACAGCCCAAGTGCGCCCCTGAGGCCCACCTATTGGATTTGGCTCAGGACTCTCGTGATATCAGAGAAGGTACGAACACCGTTTTTATATTCAGCTGTCTGCGGCATGCCCCGCCACCGTGCCAGCGCAGCTCTTGTGACACCTCTTGTCTCTATTGAAGACGCCTAATGCGCATCACCACCGCCCCCTTGCCTTATTGGAAACGTTTATGTGGCCAAACGTTGGGCCAAAGTTTGTCCAAGGTATTGGGCTATGTGTTCCCACAGCCGTTGTGGAAACCCCTGGGGAACACTTGGGGGAGGAAGAGGGAGAGGATTAGACGCAGGAGCAAAAGGTGGAGGAGGAGGAGGAGGAGGAGGAGGAGGAGGAGGAAGTAGGCCTCTCGGGGGCCTCCTGAGGGCCTCTTGGGGGCCTCTTGGGAGCTTCTCGGGGCCTCTTGGGCCGTCTTCTGTCGTCTGACGCCTGCGGAGGCCGTCTTTGAGGCCTCTCTGGGCCGCCTTGGGGCCTTCTTGGGGCGGTCCAGGGCAGTCTTGAATGTCTATTGGGCCGTCTTGGAACCCTCTAGGGACCTTCTTGGAGGCCTCTTAGGCAATCTTGGGGCCCTCTTGGGCAGTCTTGGGGCCTTCTTGGGCGCCTCTTGGGCTGTTTTGGGGCCATCTTGGGGGCCTTTTGGACCTTTCTGGGCCGTCGGAAGCCAAACAAATGAGAACGCTAAAATCGCTTCAAACGTGCCGCCGCATATTGTCGACCTCTGCGCGGCGTCGGACGCCGAGCCGCTTGGCCAAAATATTCCGGATGCCGTTTGGCTAAAATATCTTTGCGGGCGCTCGCCCTTCTCTTGCGCCTTGCTTAGGTTCAATTGGGCTTAACCTACGCTCATGTGGGGTAGTTCGAGGGCACCTGGAGGCTCTACGCGGCCGTCTAGGCGTAGGATGCGCAGGATGGGTCACACGTGACAGCTTTCGTCTTCCCTTGTGGACTAGCCCTTCTGAGTCGTCAAATTCGACACCTCTTGTTATCACGTTTCTCCCGGCTCTCATGAACACTGCCCGGATTGTCTAGGGGCCCACCTACGCTTGTGCGGGGTTTGGATGGGGCTGTCGCGTGCTTGGCCCGAGATGCAGGATGCGCTGGATGCGTTGCGTGTGGTACCGAGCGTCTTCTCTTCTGGACAAACCACCCCCCGTCGTCATCGGCCTGTTTCTGGGGTTGCCTTGGGCTTCTGTGGGGCGGTTTCGGAGAGCCCTGGAGGTCCTCCAGGGCTGTGTTTGGCCAACTAACCCCAGCGTCGGGTGCCGAAGAGGGAGAGGATGAAAAGAGGGAGCAAAGGGAAAAGGAGGAGGAGGAGGAGGAGGAGGAGGAGGAGGCAGTAGGCCTCTTGGGGGCCTCCTGAGGGCCTCTTGGGGGCCTCTTGGGAGCTTCTCGGGGCCTCTTGGGCCGTCTTCTGTCGTCTGACGCCTGCGGAGGCCGTCTTTCAGTCCTCTCTGGGCCGCCTTGGGGCCTTCTTGGGGCGGTTCAGGGCAATCGTGGATGTCTATTGGGCCGTCTTGGAACCCTCTAGGGACCTTTTTGGAGGCTTCTTCGGCAATCTTGGGGCCCCCTTGGGCAGTCCTGGGGCCTTCTTGGCAGCCTCTCGGGCTTTCTTGGGGCCATCTTGGTGCCTTCTGGGCCTTTCTGGGCCGTCGGAAGCCATTGGCAGCGGGGGCGTCACCACGCAGAGTTTTTCAAGATCAGACACTTTGAAAACCAATTGTTTCCATTGCCAGAAAGTATTCCAGGCATCCCAGTTGGGGTCCGAGTCGATGGGGTTGGAGGATCGCGCCGTATCGTCGATGTATCGGCGATGCGGCTCGATGTGGAGCCCAAATTGTTCCACGCTGGAGTCGCCGATGCATCGGCGATGCATCGCCGATGTGTTGGCGATGCGGTGCGATCCTCCGGCCCCATCTACGCCGACCCCCTCTAGCATGTGTGCATGTGTGTATGTGTATGCCTGTGTGTATGTATGTATGTATGTATGTATGTACGTACGTACGTACGTACGTACGTACGTGCGTGCGTGCGTGCGTGCGTGCGTGCGTGCGTGCGTGCGTGCGTGCGTGCGTGCGTGCGTGCGTACGTACGTACGTATGTATGTATGCATGTATGTATGTATGTATCATATACTTGGAAAACGGGGGCCAGGGCCCCGGGCCGGGACACCCTCCCGAATTTCCCCCCCCCCCGTAACCCACTTTGCCCCCGGGCGTCCGGAGGCTCTTTTGCGCCCCTGGAGGCGTCCACCACGGCTTCCGGGGACGGCAAGAAGCCGCCAAGACGGCCCAAGAGCGCTCCAAGACTCTCAAGATAGCCCCATCAAGGCCCAAGGGCCCCCCAAGAAGCCCCAGGGGCGCTCCGAGAGGCTTTCCAAGAGAGCCCAAAGAGGCAAACATCATTGATTTTCATTGTGGTTTTCAATGTTTTTTGCTTGCCCGCGTTTTAGGGCTTCTGACCTTCCAAGATTGCCGAGGAAGCCTCGAACATCGCCCCAAGACGGCCCAAAAGGCCCCCGAGAGGCCCCCCAAGACAGCCCAAGAGGGCGCCCAAACGGTCCAAGAGGCGCCCAAGACGGCCCAAGAGGGCTTCAAGACGGCCCCAGGAGGTGCCAAAGAGGGGGAACACGAACCGACAATGGAGATTTCCGCCCCAAGGCCCCAAGAGGCCCCCAAGAGGCCCCAAGAGGCTTAAAAATGCCCCCATCTGAGACCCCAAAGAGGCCCCAAGATGCCCCAAAACGGCCCCCCGGAGGCTTCGAAACATTTCAAATTATCCCGGCAAAGCAACCTAACAGCGATGTGTAGAAGCATATCTGAAAGCATTCCCCTTA